CTCTCTCTCTCTCTCTCTCTCTCTCTCTCTCACTCTCTCTTTAAAAAAAAAAAGAAAGGTATTGTGTTCACATACAACTAAAAAATAAATGTTTTTAAAAAAATACAAAGAGTTGGGATGTGGCTCAGTGGTCAAGCACCCCTGGGTTCAATCCCCAGTACCAATAAATGAATGAATGAATGATGAATGAATGAATGAACAAAGCAGGGATCTGCTTTGATCTCTGTCCTGTTTTTTTTTTATGACTTCAGTAGTCTACACTTAGCTTGGCCTTCAGTGCCAAGGTCATCAGGGTGGGGCAGGGTACAGGGCATGTGGCACACATTTTTCTCAAGTCCCCTCTTGTTTTCCCTCACTCCAGCCCTGGCCCAAGGCTGTGACTGTCTCTCCTTGCCTATCCCACAAGTCTCACTTCGAAAAATCCCTCCTGCCCGCCTCCACTAAGCCCAGCTTGGCCCTTCTCTAAGGGAATCATGCTGTTTCCTCCAGTTGTCCCCTTGAGAGCAGGGACTTGGACCAACAGCTGGGTGCTGGGCCCAGAGGAGATGCCCACTGGAACCGACAGAAAAAGAGAGGCCCAGGAAGCACTCTGGAGCAGAAGGTGGCCCAGGAATCCCTGGGTAAACCTGAGCCAGTTGGGGATGAGCAGCAGCCACAGGAACTGTGGGCCTCCAGGGAGCTGGGCCTGCCAGCCTCCACCATGGCCAGATCACAGAGCACCGCCCTCGGATGGCCTTAGGCTGACCAGAGCCTCCCGGGTGTGCCCTATGCATTGACCCAAGGCCAATGTCTGAGCCCACAGTAGCCAGTGCCAGATGCCCTCAGCAGAGACTGTCACGTATTGCCAGCCACAGCCCACTCCATCTGGAGATGCTACCCAGTATCCCTGAGCCAAGGGTGTAGGACAGCCCACCCGCACCTTCTCTTAACCTTCCGCCCCAGCTGGGTGGCTGGGTGGCTCCACCACCAGCCAGCTACCTCAATTACCCCATTTCTACTTCAGTTTCCCAGGAAAATAAGAATTCAGTTCCTGGTTTCCCTTGTAGGGACTGAATTCTTATATTTACCTTCCCATCAGTGCCCCAGCCATGTCTCAGATGAGGCCCCTAGTGCCCAGAGCCTCAAAGACACTGCCCTGGGACTTTACCCCAGGGGCAACCCCAACACCCCAGAGGTTGACCCCTGTCTGCCGCTGACTGTGATCTTGGCACTGGGCCTGAGATTCTTGGCAGCTCTTTCCAGGTCTGTTTGGCTTCCTGGTCCTCAGCCTCCTCCTCCCAAAGCCTCATCAAGCCTTATTTGGTAGCACTTGAAACTGTGGAGACCCTCTCCCTGTCCCTGAGCAGGGTCTGGGCTAATCTGACCACACACACGTCACCCACCTCCTCCCTTCCAAGTCTAGTCACTTCTTTTGAGACATGCTGTTCCCAGGGCTTAAGCAGGAGTAATTGTACCTCTTTTCGGGGTTGATGTGAGGATGACTCTCCAAGGGCACCTCAGGGCAGCCTCACTGTCACTATGTCTGACATAGCCAGGCCTCAGCAGGCCAGGGCATCCCTGGTGTCTGTCACAGGGGAACTGCAAACGGCTTAAACCTTGGCTGGCATCTCGGGCCACAGGAACATGGAGGCATCCAGAGGCTCCTGGCGGGGGTGGGGGGCAGTGTTAGGGATGAGGGGTGGCAGGCTCAGGGTCTGGAGCTCAGAAATGGGCCTAAGCAGTCTTGGCCTGATGGTAGAAGGCTGGAGAGGCGGGGCAGCATCCTGGCAGACGAGCTCAGACCTGTGCTGCCAGCTGTACCGACACAGTTCCTGCTGCGTGTTTTTTCCCCCGTTGGCCTTGGTCCAGGTCCAGCCAGGCCTCTCGGGCCCAACCTGCCCTGGCTTCACACCTGCTCCAGATGTGGGTGTCCCAACAGGGTCTGCACCAGGGAGTGGACACCAAGAGGCTGGGAGCATAGAGGGCAGCATCGCAGGTATGTGCACCCCTCTTCCCTGTGGAAGCTCTCCTCCCAGGGCTGTGGGCTCAGGAATGAGTGTGGGTGTGTCTTGTCACAGCCTCAGGTTTTGAGACCTTGTTCCTGGAATTTGGGGGGAATTTCGAATAGGGCTGGAGACAGGGCTCCAAAGCCCCCTCAGCAGGCTCCTTAGAACCTTCCCTGGGCCTGCTGGAGGGTGGGGGCTGGAGCAAGGGCAGACTAGGGAGGGCTAATGAGGTGTGATGGTTCCTACCTGGACCAGTCAAGGCAAGCCCTCCCTCCCCAGGAACCAACAACTAGAACACACTCCTCTGCGAGGCACCTGCCCCTCCTGAGAGAACGTGCCTGTCCTGCATTCAGGTCCTCTGAGGACCAAACCCTCTTTGTAGTCAGCTGGAGTTGCCACACCTCCTATTCCTTCTCCATGGTCCTGTGCCTCTCGGACAAGACAGTAAGGGACCATGAGCTCCTAGGAAGTCCCCTCTCCTGCCCCTACTGCACCTTCCCCTTATCCCAGCTGGGTCCCTGAATACCGACTGGGGGGAGAGGTGCTCTTCCTGGATTCTTCTCCCCCACACCTGACTGGGTCCCCAAAGTCCAGCAGAGAGCTCAGCCCAGCAGGCCCTCAGCTTAGGTAAGAACACAGGAGGCTTTTGCTCAGGGCGCTCACCCCCAGGTCTCCACAAACACCAGGAGGGTCTGAAACAGTGTCCAGCAGTTACTTAGAATTTTATTTGAGAAAAAGAGAAGGTACATGTATCAAAAGAGCACACGGGTGGGTGAAGGGGTCGGCCAGTCGTTATTCGGGGTGGACAGCAGGGTAATGGGTTCTACTTGGCTCCAGTCTACTCAGATTTCCCAGCTTCTGAACTCCCCAGCTGGGCACGTGACTCGAAGGTGACGGGGATGGTGATCTCCGCTGACTGTGTGGCTGGCTTGGGCATGGGGGCCTCCACGGTGAGTGTGCCCTCAGGGGACAGAGAGGAGGAGACCAGAGTGGGGTCCACACCGGGTGGCAGCCTGGACATGCAGAGAAGGAGAGCAGTTGTTACACACCGCCCCTGTCCCCTTCCCTGCGTCCACTCCGCTGGACCCCCTCCCAACAACCCCCCCCCCGAAATTGGGCCAAGACTCACGTGTATTTCCGAGTGAAGCAGCGGGAGACGTAGCCGTGCTCGTCCTGCCTCTCTTCGTGCTTTCCTGGGGTGGGGTAGAAGGAGGTCAGAGGCTGTGTGGACCGGCCCACGCCCATCCCAACAGGCTCCTCTGGCCAGAGGCCCCACCACCTACTCCCGGGTAGCTGGATCTCAGGAGGACACAGATCGAGTTGTCTGGGGGTATCTGGGGGGGCTTGACTGTCCGCTCCCGGCGTCATAAGTTTTCGAAAAGTCCCACCCAGAACTTTTCCCACCGGTGGGGGCGCGGCGCTGGGCTCTTGGCCCGGACTGGGCGCCCGCAGGCGCACAAAGCATCGTACACGCCCCCTCCGCTGCCGGGGCCAGGGCCAGGGCACCTGCTCTTAGGGGTCGGGGATGGGGTTCTCCAAGGGAAGGGGAGAACCTTCCTTCTCTTAACGTCTTTCGCGCCCCGGGTCCTTCAGAGCGACCCACATCGCGCATTCTGAGCCAAGGGAAGCGGGTCGAGGAACAGGCCTCGGACCTCTCCCGGGCCGGACCCTCGGCCCAGCCCATCCCGCCCTGGGAGGCTCCCGCAGGCTCTCCCCGCCAGCTTCATCCTCCGCAGGGGACCACAAGGGGCTCACCGGTGATCTCCACCACGCCGTCCTTGGTCTTGACCGTCAGCTCCTCCGGGGCGAAGTGGTTGACGTCCAGGGACACGCGCCAGCGGTCGGCCGTGTGCCGGATCTCCGAGACGCCCCTGCTGAGCTGCCGGCTGAGCGCGCGGCTGTAGGCGGGCGCGGCCGCGGCCACGGCCCCGGGGCCCTCGGCGGCGGGCAGCGGGCGCACGTAGCCCGGCCAGGCGCTGGAGCTGAACCACTGCGTCCACTCCTCCGGCAGCCGGGGCAGCCCGAAAGCCTGGTCGAAGAGGCGGCTGTGGTTCGGGTACCAGTCGTGGAAAGGGTCCCAGCTGGGGGTCCGCAGGAGCGTGAAGGGCACGCGGCGCTCGGTCATGCTGGCTGCTGGCTGCGCTGGGCGGTTCAATGCGCGTCGGGCTGAAGTCCGAGAAGTGCTGGGCTGGGGCCCCGGCTGCGCTTTTATGGGTCTCCAGCCGGGTATTTTTAGCAGGCGGTGCTTCAGGTCTCTATTAATGGCAATGACCAGTTGGGGGCCGTCCCTCCCCCTGCATTCCTCCCACGGCTTATGAGGGGCAGCGGGCGGGGCGAGGAAGGTTCTGCCCACATCTGGAAACTTCTCTTGTTTAGGAAAACAAATGACAGGAGAGCACGGGAGCTGGAATTATGCCCATCGCAGGGTGCACTCAGCCTGGGCGTTAAAGCGCTGCGGGAGTTGGCCCGTGGCCCGTCCCATCCTTTTGTTAAGGAGATCAAAGCCCAGAGTGGTTGGATTACTTGTCCAGGGTGGGGCCCCACGACCAGGAAGTGGTAGAGGTAGGTTTGGACCAGAGGGGCCCCGTGATGAGTTGTGTCCTAGAACCGAGTGGGGTGGTACTTGAGAGGGTGGACTTCAAGACCGGACTGCCTGAGGCCACTGGATCTGCCACCAAGAAGGTGAACTTGTATAAGTTAAGCTCTGTGCCTTACTTTCCCACGGTGGGACACCAAGATGTTGCTGGTGTTGTTGGAAAGGGCCAGGGATTCAATGACTTCATGCAAGTGAAGACTTTAGCCTGGAGCCTAGTGCCTCATAGTTGGTAGTTAACTGTTCCCTGCCTGGAATTGGAGATGGCCGAATTAGCCTTTCCCCTCCCTTCTCCTGAGCAGTGGGGCTGGCCCATCTGGCTGAGACTCACGTTAGTAGGGAGGTTACTGTCAAGTTTCCCCATATCTATTTTTCCTTTAGAAGCCCTGGCCAGGGAACCTCAGTACAATGAATTTGAATCCAGTCTGGCCTTTACAATTGGCTTCCTATCTGATTTTGGCCAAGGCCCTGCTCCTACGGTCTCAGTTTCCTTTTTGCAGCTTATGAGCTCAAAATCTGCCCCCCCCCAGCACTTTTTTTTGCTGTTGTTACTGATGTTGTTACCAGAGATTGAACCCAGGGATGCTTAGCCACCCAGCCCTTTTTTAATATTTTAGTTAAGAGATAGGGTCTTGCTGAGTTGCTTAGGGTCTCGCTAAATTGCTGAGGCTGGCTTTGTACTTGAGATCTTCCTGCCTCAGCCTCCGGAGCTGCTGGGATTACAGGCGTGCGCCACCCAAATCCCCCTTGGCTTATTTTTAAAAAAATATTTATTTTTTAATTTTAGGTGGACACAATATTTTATTTTTATGTGGTGCTAAGGATCTAACCCAGTGCTTCACACCTACCACTTGAGCCACATCCCCAGCCCCCTCCCTTTGGCTTATGACTCCTACCACACAGGAGGCGGAGTGTGGGTCCAAGAGATCGAGTTCACACAAATTTGCCTGGAGCCTAAGGCTCACCCCTTGATCCTCTTCCCCGACCTGACCACCTCTGGGGTCCAGGCCCCCGATCTCCCAGCTCTGAAGGAGGTGCTCAGCCTGAGGGTGCTGCTCCCCTCCCTGCACAGATGTGGCCTGTTCAGCTTTCCTTCTTCCTGACTTAGGTTCTGTGTTCCCTCCTCTTTAGCTGAAGCTCCAGAGGTTGACTGGCCATTGTCTCTGTAAAGTACCAACATGTCAGCCTCTTCACATTCGAGTCCCCTGGGCTCCCTACTTCCTCTTTCCCACCCCATCCTTCTGGCTGCATGTCCCAGGGTGCAGTCTCCACTCCTGCCAATTCTTTTTTTAAATTTTTTTTTAGTTGTCAGTGAACCTTTATTTAACTTATTTATTTATATGCAGTGCTGAGAATCAAACCCAGAGCCTCACACATGCCAGGCAACTGCTTTACCCCTGAGCCACATCCCCAGCTCTCACTCCTGCCAATTCTATAGGAGACTGAGGCCTTGTCCTACCCAGACCCAGACTCTAGGGACACTGAAGGGACTGGCAGGTGGACTCCAGGCCACTCACCTTGATGAGCCTCAGTTTCCTTATTATTATTATCAGTTGTAGGTGGACACAATACCTTTATCTTATTTTATTTATTTATCTTTATGTGGTGCTGAGAATCGAATCCAGGGCCTCACACGTGCCAGGCAAGCGCTCTTCCACTGAGCCACACCCCCAGCCCCTCAGTTTCCTTTCAGAGAGAGAGAGCTCATGGGTGCCTCTCTTTCCTGCCCACCCATTCTGCATTAGGATAGAGTTGGGATGGGTCATGAGTCCCAGGCCAGCCCAGGAGAGAACACTCAGGGGCCAAGTGTAGGGCACCCAGAATGCCTGCCCTCACCTCTGCCCCTTCCCTTGCTAAGTCACGCCGGGAGCTGGGGAGGTCTCAGCTGGGAGCTCCTGGCTGTCCTCCTAAGCGTCTTAGGAAGCTGCAGGCCATGGTTCCCGGCACTCCCAGCCCCGCCCACCTCCAGCTCCTCTATAAATTCAGGTGAGATCAGAAGATAGAGACCTGCCCGTCTCTGCCCAGGCTGGAGCCCAGGGCTCCCCACCCAAGAGGGAGCTGTCAGGTGTGGTCATGGGAGCTTTCAAGTGGGGCCCTGCCAGGCCCACCCACGCTGCTGGTGGCTGCCAGCACTTTGTAGACACAAGCTTCCTTCATCTTGCCTGAAATCAGGGCGAGGAGAGTCCACCCCGATGCCCAGGCCAGGGAAGGTGGTGCAACCCCAGGGCACACTGACCTGCCCCGCCTGTCACAGTCGGCGTTCGTCCCTCTGTGTGGGCCATTCTTGAGGGATGACTACTCTGAGACCAGCTGATCACAAAAGAGGGGACACTGAGGCTGCACAGGGAGCAGGGTGGAGGGGGGTGAGAAGCTGGGTTTTGGGGTCAGACAGGGCTGGGCTATTCACGAATCTGGTGACCTCTTGAGTGCACATGTCTCCATCTGCAAAATGAGGCTGATAATGCCCCTCCTGTTTGACAGCAAAGCGGCGAGTCCCTAATGTGATAAGGTGTGTTGAGTGCCTGGTGCTCAAACTCCCTCAGTGTTCTCTTGAGGGTCTTTTGCTTTGTATATTGTGGCTTCAAACAGTGACAGTTACTCAGTTGTATGTGCTTTATGGTGTATACATATGAAGCTCATCTGAGTCCCCTTTTTCAGATGAGAAAACTGAGGGCCGGAATTGCCATAGGGTCTCACTGGCGCCTGCCAGTAATCCCAGTGACTTGGGAGGCTGAGGCAGGAGGACCCCACGTTCCAGGCCAGCCTCAGCAACTTAGCAAGGCCCTAAGCAACTCAGTGAGACCCTGTCCCTAAATAAAATACAAACAGGGCTGGGGGGTGTGGCTCAGGGGTTAAGCGCCCCTGGGTTCAAGCTGGAAGGGATGGGAAGGGTTAGAGTTCAGGACTCCCATTTCCTCAGGGGGAGACTTCCCAGGCAGGGGGCTTCTGGGACCCAGGGGCAGGGGGCAGGACAGGGAGGGCTGGACCAGGTCCTCTGGGGTCCTTGGCACTCCTAACCAAGTGCCTCCCCAGGAGCCTGGACTCTCCCTGTGGCAGCTGGGCTTGGCAAGCAGAGCCAGGGTTGAGTGGCAGTGCCCACTGTTGGTGGTCTGTGTTCCGCTGCAGCAACAGGACCCTGACTTTCCAAGGGTAGTTTTTCTTTCTTTTTTTTTTTAAATGTTTAGTATTGATTTTTTAGTTTTAGGTGGACACAATATCTTTATTTATTTGTATGTGGTGCTGAGGATCGAACCTAGTGCCTCATGCATGCTAGGCAAGCACTGTACCACTGTGCCACAACCCCAGCCCAGGGGTAGTTTTTCTGAGATAAAGAGAACCCTTTGGGCTGGGGGTATAGCTGAGTGGTACAGCATCTGCCTGGCACACACCGGCCCTGGGCTCCATCCCCAGCACTGCAGAGAGAGAGAATGAGAGAAAGAGCGATAGCGAGAGCGAGAGAGAAGTGGGGGGGAGGAGAACTTTACCCCCATAGGGACTTCCGAGAAGCCATAGGGATGGATCACAGTCCCATCTCCTTCAGTGCCCTCTGTAGGGTCTGGAGATTCTTTCATGGGACGACCCCTCCTCGTGCCCTTAACCCCTAAATCTGGGGCACTCTGCAGAAGCTGCAAGACCAACCTCCACCCCTTGCACTGTGCCGGAGGTTTTGGCCACACAGGCCACGCCCTTGACAGGCCTCTGCCAACTGCAGCTCAACCAGCCCCTCCCTTGCTGGCCCAGCCTCAGAGAAAGCACTGGAGTGTTCCGGCAGCTGCTCCAACTCCCTCTGGAGCTGCTGAGAGAGCTGATGACTGATGGTGGCACCAGCCACTGGGTCTGCTGGGACTAAAAATGAGGGCAGCTGTCATTAAAGCAAACGGGGGGCAGGGGGCACTAGATCTTTCTGGAAACATCTAGACACTCCCTCTCTAGGAGTATGTTTCCTCAAACCCAGGTCCAGCCTGCCTCCCCTGCTAGGCCTCTGGTTTCTGGCTGGCCTGGGGGACACCGCCCACCCCCACCACACTGAGGAAGGCGGCAGGGCTGGGGATCCATCCTCTGGACCCTCTTGCCCTTGGCTGTCTAGCAGGCAGAAGCTGTCTGGCTTGGGAGTCTGCGGACCTGGATGTTTTTGGCTTTGGTTGGCGGGAGGCCAGCACCGTGACTCATTCTCTTCATCTGCACAATGAGACCATTGGACTGCATGTTCTGGAAGGCTCCTTCCAGGGCCATGAGTCAAGTTTCTCCTCCACTCGGCCCCCCTCCGGCCTGCTCCTTCGCAGTCAAAATGCTGCAGGATGGGGGTATTTGGGCAGTGGTGACCGAGATTCTCTGCTTGACCAAACTTAGGTGCCTGAGCGATCTCCTAGGTCATCTGTGCACTTCCTTGTAAAATCCAATTTTGGCAAGAGCCCAGATCAGTCAGTTAATCCGCAGCCTTCCATGTCTGGTCAGGTTCCTCCTCCACCCCTAATCCCCACAGCTGAAGTCCCACACCTCTTGGCCTGCCTTCAGCTGGAACCCTGCCAGATGGGACTAGCCTGAAGCCCCCTCCCCACCCCCCTCCCCAAGGTTCCTCTTAGTCATTTCCCATCCGCTGACCCCACCCTGTGCCTAGGCTGACACTTCCTCTTGCCCCCTGAAAGTGGCACTCAGCTCCACAGCAGTGTCCTGAGCCCGTCTCATGGTCCTGGATAAAATCTTCCTCACCAGGTTCTGGCAAATGTCACTGAGTACGTTTCTCTTTGTAACAGTGGAGGCAGGAGAGGGGAGGCTGGGGAGACATTTACCGGGCCCAAGAAACGGACCTTCCTTCCCTGTTGGTCTGCTGGGCCTGGGCCTGACTGGGGTCTGCTTTAAATCAGAGTAAGATGATGAGAGGGGATGGGTGTGAGGCCCGAAGAAATAACAAATAGGTAGAAAGGAGAAAGGAAAATAAAACAGGGTTAAATAAAATAAAATAATTAATTAATTCTTGGGACCAGGGATTGAACCCAGGGCGCTTAACCACTGAGCCACATCACCAGCTGGTTCTTATATTTTATTTTGAGACAGGGTCTGGCTCTGTTCTTAGGGCCTCGCTAAGTTGTTGAGGCTGGCTTTGAACTTAGAATCCTCCTGTCTCAGCCTCCCGAGTCACTGAGATTACAGGCCTGTGCCACCGTGTCCAGCACCAAGTATCCTTTAAAAGAAGAGCTGGGAGCCCCAGAGTTTACCTCTTGCTTGAGATGATCCACATTCTCCTTTGAATATGCATCTACTTTCCTAATAAACCTCTCTGACTGGCGTGTGCTGAAATTCTTTTATATAAGCCAAGAACCCTGCTGGTCCCAAGTTGCGTTTCCTCTCTGTTTCAGGAACTCCTTGGACACTTCTTTGAAGACACCTCTTCTCCCATGACCTCTCAGGCAAGAATTCCCCAGACCTATAGGAAATAAGGGTTCCTGTTCTGAGGTGGATTTGGGTTTCCACTCCAAGGGAGTCCTAGACAGTAGACAGGTGGAGCCGGGTGTAGTGGCACATCCTCGGGGGAGGCTAAGGCAGGAGGATTGCAAGCCTTGATAACCTAGTGAGGCTCTAAGTAACTTAGGAAGACCCTGTCTCAAAAATAAATAAATAAATAAATAAATAAATAAATAAAGAGCTGGGGACGTGGTTTAATAGTAAAGTCACCCTGGGTTCAATCCCTGGTACAAAAAAAAAAAAAAAAGTGGGTGGGTGGAGGTGGGGCTCCAGAGGCTGAGGCACCCCATGTCTTGGGCCTCCTAGGTGGAGAGCAGCTTGGAGAAGGGGCTGCTGTAGGACCCGCTGCACCCCCAAACCAGAAGAGCTTGAGCCACGCTCAGGAACCTCTGGTGCAAAATGCACACATCCTGGGGAGGATGCTCCACCCTCTCCTCCGGTCACCAGGCCGCCTGGGAGTTTCCTGTTTCCTTGCCTGCTGCTGGTGGTGGTGGTGGTGGTGATTTTCCCTTTCCCAAGGTACAAAGCAGAGTGCAGGCTGAGCTTCGGGTATTGGGAGGGGCAGTGGCTTGGTACTGTCCCTAACTGCGCCAAGTGGCCTCTTCCCCAGGGAGCCAGAGATACTACCTGGGCTGGCCGCCTCCAGGCTGGGATGGACCCTCTAGACAGGGGAGCTATCTACTCAGTCCTGGCCTGTCTCCGCAGCTGGCATTTCCCTCACTCTCTGTCGCCATCTGGTGTCTTCTTGCTGCCATCACACCTCACCTTTGGTCCTAGGCCTCCCCAAGGCTTAGGAACTGTTGGTCCTTTGATTCCCTCATTGACTCATTGGCTCATTCAAGAAGCACTTCAAAAGGGCCTGTATGGGGGACGCAGAGACCAAGAAGACATGGCCTGGTCTCCAGAAGCTCAGAGAGTTGGAAAGAGAGACATGTCCACGAATAACTGGGATAAGAGTCTGGGGCCCTAAGAAGAGGTTCCTAGAAGAATCTGGGGCCACACAGCTGGGGATCAAAATGGCTCCATGGGGTAGGAGGCTGCTAGGGGGGGGCCTCACACCCTGAGTCCACCTATCTGTGGAGATGGAGAGGGCATGACTGGGGGTCACTGGACTGAGGTGTACTGGAGCCCAGGGCAACGAGGGGATGCAAGGTGGGGGGACAGCAAAGTCCAGATGGAGTCATTTGGAAGGCCTTCCAAGGCCTGCAAGCTGGTGGACGTGACCACAGCATGCAGAGTCCTCAAGGCAGGGAGTCCTGTTTGATTCATTCAGTACTGTGTCCTCAGCACCGGGAATTGTGTTCAGCACATAAATGGCCAGTGATGCATTTTAGAAATAGTGGGAAGGCCAGATCACTTATAATCCAAGTGATTTGGGAGGCTGAGGCAGGAGGATTGAATGTTTGAGGCCAGGCTCAGCAACTTAGAGCCTGTCTGAAAGAGTAAAAAGAGGAGCTGGGGTTGTAGCTTAGTGGTAGAGCTCTTGCCTTGCATGACTGAGGCACTGTGTTCAATTCTCAGCACTGCATATAAACAAATAAATAAATAAAAGGTCCATTAATAAATAATAAAATATTGTTTTTAAAAAAAGAGTAAAAAGAGGCCAGGGATGTAGCTTGAGGGTGGAATACTGGAACACCCCTGGGTTCAATTCCCCGTATGGGAAAAAAATATGTGTGTGTGTGTACACACACACACACACACACACACACGATTGGAGTGGGCCAGACAGAGATGGAGGAGGGCTGGCCAATGAAGGGGCAAATGGTACAGAAAGGTAGCAGTCGCATCATCTGGGGCTGCCTGGCTGTGGATATGGAATACCAAAGACTGGGATGGGTATTGGGAAAAGGAGCAGCAGAGCCCCAGGCCCCACAACAGGCTCAACAAGTTGAATTTTATGCTATTCTTTGGGTGTACTTCCTGCCCTCGCCACCAGGAGGCGGGATCTGCAGAGCACAGCCATGTGCAGTTCCCACCCTTTATTCATTCAAAGGCCATCTTGCTGAACTTGTATAGAGGGTTAAAGAGATCACCAGGGCTTCTCTGAACATCTTTCTGGGATGAGACACAGCTGCTGGCCACTGGCTGTGTCAGGTGCTCCTTCCAGTTTGGGGGAAGAGAAACTGGAAAGGGGGGGGTCATGCAGTGTCCTAGCTGTGGCCACATCAGCCGAGGAGGACCAGGGTTCTTAACCTGGGGCACCTGTAGGGCTTCAGAGTGTCTGAGAGATTGATGTAAGGTGCCAAAGTGGGCATGCGCACTTCCTTCTGGGGAATGGGCTCTCAGCCTCCAACAGAGTCTCAGAGGATGCTTGGTTCAAAAAAAAAAAAAAGAGGAAGGAGAAGGAGGAAATGGAAAATGAGGGAAGAGGAGGAGCAGGACAGGAGAAGGGCAGGGGAAGGAGAATCTGTATGGATCTATATAAAAGAAATACAATGAGAGTAGTTATTTAAAAAAATTAAAACGGGCTTGGGGGTGCACCCCTGTAATCCCAGCAATTTAGTAGGCTGAGGCAGGAGGGTCACAAGCTCAAGGCCAACCTCAGCAATTTAGTGAGAACTTGTCTTAAAATAAATAAAAAGGGCTGGGATGTAGTTCAGAGGTAGAGTGCCCCTGGGTTCAAAAAAGGAAATCTACCACATTGAACCCCTCTTCCAAGCCCTCCTCTGAAGCTAGGCCAGGCCAGTGATGCCTGGTAGTGGCCATCTTTTGAACTCTCTGCCTGCCACTGTGCTGAGGACTGCCAATGTAATATTGCATTTTGGCTTCATCTCACGCCTGTGTGTCACTTAGCAGGAAGTGCAGGGGGCAGGCTTCACACCCTAGTGCTGCTTCAGCCTCCCGAACGCTCTGCCATGCGATGAGGCTCCTCCAAGCCTCTTCCCTCTGCTCTGTGCCCATGCACTTGTTCTCCTTGTGTCCAATTTCTTTCTTTTTTGGCACTGGGGCGCTTAACCACTGAGCCACATCCCCAGCCCATTTTTATATTTTATTTTGAGATAGGATCTTGCTGAGTTGCTTAGGGCCTCATTAAGTGGCTAAGGCTGGCCTTGAGCTCAAGATCCTCCTGCCTCAGCCTCCTGAGCCACTGGGATTATAGGTGTGTGCCACCGCATCTGGCTCCTTATGTCCAATTTCCTCCCGCTTGAGCCTCAGGAGGGCTCCGTGGACTTGCTCAGAGGCAGGGGATATATATGCTGGTCCCTGCTTCCTGGGTGTCAGTTCTTCTCTCTGGGGGTACTGAGGAGTCTGATTCCCTCTCAGTCCACACGGCAGGGAATGACCCCAGGCCTCCCTGCCCTCCCCAGCCTGCCCAGATGCCCACACTCACAGAGGCCTGCTCTCACCACGTGCCATCCGGGCACTGAGTGTTTATTATTAGAGTCCAATTTTTATCCGCACCGCGGAGTAAGAGGGAGGGGGAATAGAGAGGGGGGAACCCGGACCAGACCCCAGACCCCTCCCCCCATCAGCGCCCAGGGCATCTGCCCTCTTGGGCCAAGGAAGACTTTGTGAGATCCCTGAGGGCCCCAGGAGGAGGGGGCTGGGAGCTGCAGAAGAGGACTGGGGGCCTGTGTCCCCGTTGGTGCCAGGGCAAGGCCCTGGGCCTAGATCCTGGCCTCCCTTCCAAGGGCTGCACTACCCCTCCCTGGGGAGCCTTGGCTGGCCTGTCCCAACAAAGCCTGGGAGGAGGCGCTTCCCTGGGCAGGCCCTGAGGGCACCGTACACATTTCCCTAGGCCTGAACCCTGGGCTGTCATCTAGTCGTGTCCCAGACTGGCACATGCTGCCCTTCTCTTGGTGGGGCCCAATGCCGTTGACCCATCTCCAATCCCTCCCAGCTCCCTGTGGCCAGCTCTGTCACCCGACTACGCTGTTTTGCCCATGGTCACAAGTCCCTGTGCCATCTTCAGCCTTTGTCGTCTTCCACCCCCTGACCTGACCCTCTCTGACCTCAGGGTCAGATGAAGATGTGGTCTTCCACCCCCACCTCCTGTCACACGGAAGGCCTGGCTGGTATGACCTTGGCCCAGGGCTGGGATGGGGATGGAGGGAAGAGCCTGGCCTAGAGACATGGGACCTGAGGCTGGGGCTTTGCGGGCTGCCCAGTCTGGGCCCTGCTGGGCCAGGGGAGAGGTTGGGGGAGGCTGTGGGACCAGCTACCAGCCCTCAGCCAGGGTCTTCCTCCCCAGCCTGGATGGTGGCGCACCAAGAGTTAGGCCATTCTTCCTTCTGTCTAGCTTAGACCCAGCTTGCTGGATACCTCCTCATCTTCCCAGTGAGAGAGAGAGAGGAGAGGAGGGCCCTGGGGAGCAGGGAGAGGAGGTCTGGCCCTCTCCAAGGTGTGCCTGGGCCTACGAACGGAGGTGAGGTGACACAGCAGACTGTGGACTCATGCCATTCTCTGGCAGTGGCCCCCAGCCTGGTGAGCTGGCATCAAGCAGGAAGGGGACAGGGTGATCCCTGTGTTCGAAACGGCTCTTTGTTCCCTGGACATGAAGGTGGGCAGGAGGCGGGCTGGGCACCCTTTCTGAGCAGCACAATCTGGCTCCTCCTACGGGCAGGGCACCGGCCCTCACGGTCTTCCCTGGTCCCATCTGCCCACGTGCTGGCCCCGGGACTTCTTTGTTGCAGTGGGGGGTGCATTCCCACTCCAGGTCCTGGGGCCTGGCCTCTCCCTGTGCCAGGGGACCTCAACTGGGTCTCTCTGGGCTCAGAAACCCCCACTCTCAGAGCTGCTCCGGCTTTGGTAGCTGGGACTGGGGGTCCGGGAGGGGCTCCGTGTGCGGCTGCGGGTCCCGCGACTGCGACTGCTGTAGCTTCCGTGGCTGTGGCCTGGGCTGGGGCTGCGGCTGGGACTCCTGCTTGAGTAGTCACTGCTCAGGCAGCTGGAGGAGGAGGAGGGGCTGGGCCGGTAGTAGGGGATAGGACGCTTCCGGGCACTGCCAGGGGGAAAAGAGCATTACAGGTCAGCCAGGGCCGAGCTCTCTGCCCTCTGGGCTCTCACTCAGGTCCTGAGCCCCATCTAGCAGTGACCAGGGCTTCCTGCCTCAGTGTCCCCTGAGCCCTGGCCTCAGAGATGTCCACCCCCTCCAAATAGAATTTGAATCACTTGCCCTGTCGATCATTTTGGTCTTTCTCACCTGTCCACTGGAAAAGGAGCCAGGTTTCTGCATGATCTGAGATGTGCTAATAAATGTTTGTGGAATGAATGAAACATTTTTTTGAGGGGTACTGGGGATGGAGCCCAGCAGTGCTCCGAGCCACATCCCCAGCCCTTTTAAAAATTTGTATTTTGAGACAGGGTCTCACTAATTTGCTGAGGCTGGCTTTGAACTTGGGATCCTCCTGCCTTAGCCTCCCAAGTCCTGGGATTATAGGTGTGCGCCACCACGTCTGGCTTGCACCCAGCTTTGAAAGAAAATTTGAACAGCGCTAAGTAGTGTTGTGTATGATGTGTGTGTGTGTGTGTGTGTGTGTGTGTGTGAGAGAGAGAGAGAGAGAGAGAGAGAGAGAGAGACATGTGTATGATGTGTGTGTAGCTGTGCACATGCTTGGTGCTGGGGATGGAACTTTCACATGCTAGGCAAGCACTGTGCTGCCGAGCCCCGCCCAGCATGGCTTCTTTGTGAATATGACCAACCCTGCTTCTCTGTACCCCAAGAAAATAAGAATTTGGGCTGTTCAGGTAACTCAAAGGGAACAAGGACACCCTGGCCGCTGCTGCCGTGCTCAAGGCCTGGCCCAGTCCTACCAGCGCCCACTCTTCACTCAGCTACCTCCCGCTGGCCCGGAGTTAGTTTGAAGGCACGAGAGGCTGTGACCCAGAGGAAAGAAGAGAGAGGGTTAAGAGGGCTAGTGTCCCATCGCAGGGTTAATTCTGAGGAAGAAAACAGGTGTCAGTGGGGAGGAGGAGGCAGCCTGGAGAGGGCTGAAGTGGGTGCCAGGTGGCAGGGGTGGAGGCTTTCAGGTCTCTCAGGACCTCCAGCTGTGGGTGGTGTGAGTGAGCCGTCTGGGTGTCCCAAGCTTAGCAGTCTGGCCTCTAGCTATGAGGTAGGGAAGGAGGCAATGCCTTCTCCTCCCTCAGGACTAGGAAGAATAAGTGTGAGAATCTGACCCTGTTGGAGTTGAAAAGAGCCCTGCTTACTGTACACACATGACAGTGGAGACCCAGAGAGGCACACCAATCTCCCAAGGTTGCCTAGCAAGACAGTGACAGAACTGGGTTCAGAACTTCTTCAGAAATTCTCCACCCATGCCAGGCCAATCCAAGGCTTAAAGGTGACTTTAACAAAGACAAGTCATAATGTCACCTGGAGACCCAGGCCCAGACCCCTGCAGTCCTAGCAGAGGAGCTCTGACTATGGCTTTGGCTTAACCAGCCACACCCTGGGCACAGCCTTCCTGGCTGCACCGGGTTCCTCCACAGCTGCCCCAGAGACCACACTGCTGTGCCTCCTCCTCCAGTTCAGCAGGGCTTGGGATGTTAGTGAGAAAAGGAGAGGTAGACAGACAGACAGCTGACCGGAGCAGACCAGCTCACATGACATCTCCCCGGCAGCCTGTGGAGAGGGGTCAATCGGGCCCCCAGGCTGGCCACAGGCCACTCAGCACACTGGACCTTGAGATGAAGGAGAAAAGGAGACATTATTGCGCGGAGGCGGGTGTGGGGAGGGAAGAACGGGCTCCAGAGAGATGGCTGGACCTTCCAGAGCGGAGATTCATGCCTGCTGAGGCGCCCACTCAGACCCAAGTACAGAGCTCTCTCCCCTCCATGGGCCTTCAGGCCCCGGCTGGGACCTTTCCTTCTAAGGAGGCTCCTCCACCTGTCTGATCCCCAGCACCCCAGCCCCTCCAGCCCAGCCCTTTCCCTTCACTCCTGGGTGAGCCCTTTCCCTTCACTGAGTCCTCCTCCGTTCCTGCCGCTGTAGCCCCTTCCCCGCCCCGCGCCAGGCTCCAGTTGGCCATTGGAGAAGGTCCCCAGGCTGGGCTGATGAAACCTCACCTCCAAGGTCACCGTCACTGACTCGGGTCAGTGGCCCTAGCCCTGCGCCCACGCTCCCCAGCCCCTCCGTACCTGGTGATGCGCCGTGGCTCCATGAAGCTGGGCGAGTCGCGGCGCCGCTTGCGGATGGGCGAGTAGCTGCGCGAGCGGCGCCGGGCGCGGGCGGCCTCGGCCTCTGCATGCCTCGTGCGGCCCTCTCCGTCTTTGTCCCTGCAGGGCCGGCCCGAGGTGAGCGACGGGACTCGACGACCCGGCTCCTCAGGCGGGGCCCCCTGCAGCCAGCGACCTGGGTCATGGCCACGACCTCTGCGGGGCGGGCGGGCACTCACCGGCCGACGGCTTTCTTGGGCGACAGCGAGCGACTGGGGCTGCGGGCCCTCTTCTCCGCGGATCGCGAGCGGGACTTAGAGGGGGAGCGGCTGGAGCTCCAGGACCGCGGGTGGGCACCCGGGCTGCGCGACGAGCTCTTCCCCTCAGGACCGCCGCGCCTGCCGTGCGGGTCAGGGGACGGCGAGGTGCTGGCCGGTCGCGCGCGCGCGGGCCGCTCCTTCACCCTGGAGGCAGCAGAGAGAGGGGGTTCAGCGGCGGCGGGGGTGGGGTGTCCTAAGTAATGAGGGGAGGGCTCAGTGCGGGGTAGAGGTAGTAAGTCTGGGGAGAGTGATGAGTGAGTCCAGGGGACAGGAGGGTGTTCCTTGGGCTGGGGTGGGGGGGATGATCAGGTGGTCAGTGGGGGGAGTTCAGCAGGGGGACAGTGTTCCCTGGGGTTTTAGACCAGTGGGGGGACAGGGAGCTCCGTGGAGCGGGGCCATCCGTGAAGGGAGAGCTCCCTGGGAAGGGTCGTCCATCAGAGGGCAGCTCCGTGGGCGGGGGGCGCTCAATGAGGGGGCGATTGCTGGACGCGGAGCCCTGGTTGGGGAGCTCCGGGACCGCTGGCCATCGAGGAGGGGGCTCTGTGTGAGTTGGGGGCCAGAGCTCACCGTTTCCCGTGTCCGCCGTGGCCTCGCTCGGAGCCCG